TTCCCTGACCACTCACTTGTTTAACTCCAGGAATACCAGCTGATTGCCATATGGTAGGACAGTGCCTTACAAACTAATCCAATTTAATTCTGGCTCCTTTGAAGGAATAGTGTTTGAGATCTGTGTTTGATGTTTGTTCTGACCTCAGTAAATCTGCTCCCCCCTTCCCCAGACAGGCCTACATTTTAGCTTGTATCTTGAAACTCTTAATTGCCATTCACCACAAGCTTCACTGTCCTTCAGACTGCAATTAGGCTTGCTCTGTTCTCCATGCTCTATTGTAAATGGAGTTAGCTCCTTTGGAGGAACTATCAGTTTTATAGTGTCTCTTCCCACTTAGGCAAAATGTCTGAGCCCAGACTCTGGAGCTGGGAACAATGACAGTCTTCTCTCAGACACCTCTGCTCTGTTTGCTAAGTGTTTGTTGGAGCAGCATGTGTGTAGCAGCCTAGAATCCTCTTGACTTGCCTCTCCTAGTGGGGAACCACTGCTTCTCGAGCCAGGACAAGGTGGTTAGGGCCTTAGTGTCCTCAGCACCTGTGTCCAAGGTAGAGCCTCGTTCCCTGAATGGGGCCTGAGTGGAAGAAGGGAGCCCCCACCTCTCAGCAGCACGAGAACCTGATGGAGTTGTCATTACTTGCATTGGAGAAGCATGCGAGGGTGGTGATCAGGAGCTCAGTTAGACAGGTTAAATTTGAGCCGTTGCCTATTGGACAGCCAACAGGAGACGTCAAGTAGGTAATTAGATGTAAGAGTCTGGGCTGAGGTTTAAATTTGGGAATCGTCAGCATGTATGTAACATTTAAAACCATGAGATTTAACATCATCGCCAGTGGACTGGATATGGGTAGGACAGAGAGGAAGATCAGGGCCCGGGCCCTGGAGCACCTGCTGTCAAGAGCTCAGGGAGCTGAGGAGAGTGAGGAGTGGCAGCAACTGAAAAGGGGGTAAAATAAGAAGAGGAGTTTTATGCTGCACTTGCAAACACCTCTAATGGCTTCTTATCTTTTTTCTAGCTGAGTTACGCAGTGTGACAAATTGTCAGTCTAACCAACCAAGGTAAGGAAAAAACCTCGTTAGGGATGTAGTTTTCCTAAAATAACATTTAGCATTGTAAGGAATACTTGGAACAAGGGGAACTTA